ATAATGACCTTTATCACAATATGCTAATTTTTTGAGAAGGACCTGTACATATGCATCAAAAACAAATGAAAAAATAGGAATATCTTTTATAGTCCCGGAATATCTAATAAAAACAGGAAAACGAATCACCAACGACTTGTCAGTATATACAGGAGAGATGTTAGCAGTTTTATTAGCAGTGCAGTGGGTGGAGGAAGTAAAACCATTAAAAACAATAATCTGTTCAGATTCAAGTTCCACATTATTTAGTTTAAAGCACAATCATTCAGACAGCAGGCCAGATGTTTCATTAGAAATATTCCACACATTATTCAGAACACAAAGGATGGGTTTAACATTAACATTTTTATGGGTACCAGCGCACATTGGGATAGAAGGAAACTAGATGGCAGATAAGATGGCAAGGAAGGCAACTCAAAATCACATTAACTTCACAGTACATACAAGTAAATCAGAGGTAAAAAGTATCATCAAACAAAAACCGAAGAAAGAATGGCAGAAAAGATGGGATGAAGAAAGAAAAGGAAGATGGTTTTATCGGATCAAAAAGACACTAGGAGAAACAAGAACTGGAAGAAGGAGCAGAAAGGAGGAAAGATTAATAACGAGATTGAGATTTGGACATACGGGACTTAATTATTCATTATTTCAAATAAAGAAACACAATACAGGAAAATGTGAGCACTGTGGACAAGATGAAACTAATGTCAGAAATATGCAGCAGAACGAAGCTTTATGAAGAGAGAGTTTGAAAAGATAAAAGAAAAACTTGATATAATAGATGCACTACAACACAACTTAGAGAGCAAACGTATACAAATTATAATTAGATATTTTAAGAAAACAAAGTTGATTAATAGAATTTGAATTACATACAGTTTAATCATGCATACACACAGAATTATCCCATGATGAACCGCACTCCATACCAGTGGTGGCGGTAATGCACACCTACAGTTTTTTGCCAACAGCCATTAAACTCCTCAAGAAGAAGAAGAAGAAGAAACTTGGTCACAAACTTTAATAGACCTCAGAGATGTAGCTTTTGTGAACGATCCAAATCTTTTGAACGGCTCTTAACAACAAACGATAGAAACGAGTTGCAGACAGTAAAGAGCCGTTCCTAGTTTGATTTTATTTCATCTTCATCATTTTTTCATGTTTTGCT